GAAGCATATATCAAAATAATAATCTTGTAAAAATGTGAAATATTTTTATCAAATAAAATTGGGTTATCCGAAAAAGATATCGTTTATCAAAATACAATAAACAAACAAGATATTTATATCATCCCTTATAATCACGTGAAAATAATAAAAGACTATCCAATCTCAAATCAACGCTCCCTTTGTTTTCGATTCCAAAATTATCACAAATCTGTTCAATCTTACGAACTTGATCTTGATTAAGAGATCTTGGACCAACATTATCACCACTCGAAACCAACCAATTACAATAATCATAAACCTGAGTCCTATAATCAAATATATTGGGAATTACAGTATTCCGAACCTCACTACCATCCTTAAAAATGACCGCATTTCTCTGAACATTATAATCCCATCGTCTTGAACCTGCCCGATACAATGTTGCTAATTCATCGTTACCAATCCTATTATTGAGGTTTAAAAAAACAGAAGAAAATGCATCCTAAAAAGCTAGGACATCATTCAAATCATTATTTCGAATATGATAGATACTCCATCGTAATATTATGCTCTTGTATAAATGTGATATATTCTTATCCAATAAAATTGGATTATTTTCAGATGTAACTGTTCGTACTTCCATCCTATAAAAAAATATAAATAAATATTTATTCGTTTACATTCAATTCGATCAAATATTACCTCTCTTACAAATCTTGATCTCAACATGATATGCATCAAACAACTGATCAATTTATAATGAATGATTGATACCATAACCATACTTTAAACCCAATCAAATTAAATATAAAATTAGAACAAAACACCACACTTTATCACGCCAATTGATATTTATTATATTGTAAATAACAAATTAAATCGATCTATATTTAAACAAATCTTTATACATCAGATAATCCATAAGATATCTAACCTTATAATCTGGAAATTTTTCCCTGAAATAAACTTGACCATCTCTAATGATAATCTCACCATCAATATCTTGATTTACATCTTTGATCTTTTGTTTCAATTCATTGATTGTATCACCATACCTTCTATATTTGATATCCCATCGCATGTTGTGAAAATCATTCTCATCACCCTTTTCAAAGAATATTCTGGTTGTCCGTTCCTCAACATCATCATTCCACCTCCCTTCCAATCGGATAATATAATCAATACGATAGAGAAACTGCTCAGATAAACGTTTATTATCATCTTCATCATTTCCGGTACCATATGTATATGCATTCTGTGGTGATTGGGTACTCGTTATAAATATGTATCGTGGAATAAATGATCTCAAAGTTCCATACTTGATCTCAACCAAGTAATCGGTATCATTCAACAAGTTTACCATCTCGCCCCATGAAATCTTGGTATAAAATTCATCCAAGAAAACCACCGATTGACCATAATATCTATTCCACCAATTCTTTCCACCCGATCGATCCTTTGAGGACTTACTATACATCACATTCGAAAATAACTCATTTATCAATCCTGTCTTATCAGAACCATGAGGACCATAAATATAAATCACAACAGGTTTCCAAAATCTCTTGACAATTGATCTCTTCAACATCTTCTCTTCCCATTCCAATTCTTTCATCAACTTATGATTCGAATGCCAACTCAATGGTTGCAAATTTCGATTCATTGTTATATCTTTATAACTGATATCACTATCCCGAAGATTCACTAATCGTTCCAAATCTTCCTCCTTGATCTCGTCCATAGAACTCTTGACATCCTTTGGATCCTTCAAACGTGAGTGCTTCTTAGAAATACCAAACTCATAATATTTATCCAGATCTTCCACACGTTTTCTCTTTTTCTCACCATCAAATAGCTTGCAGTTTTCCTCCTTTAATTCAGAATAGGTCCCTTTGCATTGAAAGAATGGAGCCTTGCAATAATTCGAGGCCTCTTCAAAACTACCCCACGT